AAAAAAATATTTGAAATTATTTGATTTGCTGCTAAGTTATGGCTTTCTAAATATTTTTATATGTTCTACTGCTAAGGTTATTGTTTGTTTTGGTTTTTGATTTTTTGAAAGTGTTAAATCCACTGAAAGTAGTGTTGTCTATTTTTCTTTTTAACAATTTACTAATAATGAAATCAGGCCAATATTAGGAATCACCTTTTAATCATTTTTTCAATAATCATGTTACAAGGAATAATTGTTACTTTTGATTTATAATTGTTTGGAAATAATAAACCATGGTGTAATAATTTGCAGCGTTTTTTTTTAATGCAAAGAAACTATTAAAAATCATAATTATATTATCGAACATTTCTCTCTTTTTTTTAGTTTGATTGTTTCGGTTTTGTTTAAAAAGCTGACTTCTGAGTACTCAGTAACAAGTATTTTATTCAAATACCGACCTTTTTTTAGTACCAAAGAATTTAATTACTACTTCAGTTGACGTCAAAGGAGTAACTGAAGTAGTGATTAAATTCCCAACAATGATTCAATTTGAGTAAAATACTTGGTACTAGGTACTCAGAGCATTTGTCCATCTCTGCTTAAAAAGCATTTTAACGACTATTAAATTATTGCAACAAAGTGAGCAAAGATTATTTATTTGGAATGTAAGTACTATATATATACCCGCAATAAAAAGAATATCAATATACCCATATCGGGCGCAATACCGATTTTTACTTACAGAGTTGTTTTGGTTTTATTCTCGTTATTAAATAAAATATGGTTCTTACATTATTCATATACATAACTAACATAACATGAACATTGAACACAAAACATATTGCTGGGAAACTAATCAAATTCTGAATTTTTGTTTGGATTATTATTCGATGAATAAGGAAACTTACAGTGGAAACAGATGTGAGGAGAATCATCCTTGGCTGTAGAACAACCGGTTTTTAAATTGAGTTAGGATAAACTCGTCAGAGCCGTGATAGAAAAAAAAATGAGAAAAATCGGTGCTATAATGCCACTTCCGGTAAGTGGATTTTAGCGAATATGTAATTTCAGTTTCGTATAACTTTTCGTTATTGAACTAAGATGTTCAAAGTCAGATAAACAGACACAGGTACGTTTTTTTTTTCTCACTCTCAAACGATTTTAATGAACTCATCCAATATATAAATACGCATACTTTTTTCGCTTTGGACACAGACACACACAACTTAAAGTGTGTGTATTCAAACCATTAGCGAGACTTGATTATTTTGGCTCAGATCTCAAAACGGATATTTCCGTTGAAAACAAGGATTTGAATTTTTTCGCGATCCCAATACTTTCTCTTACTGTAAAACTCCATAAAAAAGTAGCTTAAAAGAAAAAAAGGAATTTTGTCTATGTTGACGATATTAATTAACCCAAGTTTTGGTGGAAGGGTAGAATCAATATTTTTCCAACAAACAAAAAAATAAAACTATTTTTATTTAATAAATTGACTTTCTTATGAATTCGAATCGTTACAAACGATGCATATAAACACTCAAAATGCCTATTTCATTACTATTAGTTCCTAAACAAAACCTTGTTTGTACAAAATATGTAAAAAGGCGTCTTATTTTTATTATGACAATCCTTACAAATGATACAAAATGCATTAAAGTATATATTTAATATATATTTATTTAAGTATATATTTATATTAAAGTGTGAAGTATGTATTTATGAAAACTTTCAACTGACCTAGATCGACCCTTTAAGCTGCATTCCCAAATTACAAAGCAATAGTTTTTTGTTTTTTTTTATAACATTTTTGTATCAAGGACTATATAATGTAAAAGTAGAAATTGTTTTGGTTTGTCTAAACTGAACCTAATTCTATTTAAGAAGGAGTTGGTTGGAGGTTTCGGTCAAATAAATACCAAATTTTTAAAAATTAGTATATTTAATTATTACGCCGACGTTTCGACCCACTTTGCAGATCTTCATCAGGGCGTCATGAAGACCTGCAAAGTGGTAGCAAAACATTTGCTATTGTTTGACCGCACCCCCCGACCAATTCCTTCTCATATTATATCACGGTTAACCATCTCTAAATCATTAATTTTATTTAGATCAGCATTAGAACGTAGAAACAATTTATCACATTTTGTTATGTCACGAAATATAATTGATATACAAATTTATTACATTTTAAAATTCAGAGACTGAAATATTCCTCCAAGTCCTCTAACGACTCCTTGCCCTTTTCAAGGATTATCTAGAATTGAAAAGAGTTTCTATTAAGTCTCTTATTTTAATGAATTACAAATAAATTAAATTAGTAATCCAGATGATGATATTTCGACGATGACTGAAGTAGTAATTAAATCCATAATATTTATTAAATGTCAGTAAAACACTCGGTAATCAGCAGTTAGAGTAAGTTTTGTCTAAAACTAGTACAAATTACTGTTTCATATATAAAATATATAATGTTTTGTTTTACTTATAATGCCGTGGACACTTGAAAGTGATCCAGTTTAGCTGATATGCAAATTGCTTTGCGTAAAACAAACAAAAAAAGTTTTTCTTTAAAAAAAGTTACGAGTTTTACAAATTGATGTTACATATTTTAAATATCAAGATCCTATCGGGGTCAATGTCAAACATGGCGCTGTGGTGCCGCTTATTCTGACCTTGCGTACTGTCACTAAACATTAAATTTTATTCTAATAAGTTAATTAATTAGTAATCAAAAACATGGACTTTTTCTTTCCATCCACAAAATAATATAAAACAATAAAATTCCTTATTTACAATGATAAAACATTATTTGGTTATATCACACTCTTCGATTTTGATGATTTTATGATACCCAAAATCTATGATTTTATTTTGTCATGATTTAATTAGTTTGCAATTAATTGCTAAATAGTAAAAATTTGCAAAAGCTTCTGGTATATTTCAATATAGAATAGGATGACGAACAATAGACCTAAGTGAGGTCGCAGTTCATCTTTGTCGGGTAAAAAAAAAGTTCCGAAAGTCAAATATATTAAAACAGGCAGTATAACACTTCAACAAATCTAAAAGCATACATACGTTCATTACAACAAATCTGCTAAAGTTTTCGTAATTAAGAAGAAGTAATATAAAATCTATTACCAAAATTTATTATTATCTGATTATAAAATTCATACCATCATTAACAGTCTTTGTTTTATAAGAGATTCTGTGGATAAGTGCTGGGTCGTTGTAACTTACTCGTGGAGTGTCTTAGCCGCTATCGAGAACCCATCCCCAAGTAATTCTATTATTTATTTTTATTTTTTTTTACTTTTTTATTTAGACTTATAATATTCTGTCTCATGGACAATGATTATAGTGATAAATGAACACATTCACACCATATATACAGAAAATATAGAATTAACAAAAGTAAAATAATAATAAAAAAAACTATGTACAATAAAAAATAAAATAATCTAAAGATAAGTAAATTAAAAACATAAAAACACATTCATACCTATATACAATATATACAATCAGGCAGGGGACCCAAAGCCAGGTTTCTCCCTCCAGTATAGAAGAAAAAGCAGCTCTAACAGATCCCTGCACTACTCTCTCAACCAAGTCACTGGTGATGAAGCCAGTGTAGTTTGAGCGAGAGCGCTGATTCTATTATTAAAGAAATATTAATTGTCTGGCGGGAAGCAAAAAACAAAGGCATGTCAATAGTGTTTGTTTGGGTGCCAGCCCACTGCGGCATTCCGGGAAATGTAAAAGCTGACCAAGCAGCCCATTTAGCAAGGAGAGAAGAAGAAACGGCGGAGATAAGATTAAAGCTAGTTACCTTAGAAGACTGGCTACACCACGCAAAAAAAAAAATACTACAAACAGAATGGAAGAAGGAATATGAAATGAAAGAATGCAAAAGGAGAGAAATAAAACCTAATTGCGACAAATGGCTCACAAGCTACAGAAGTTCAAGAAGAGAAGAAATTACGCTTTGGCGCCTAAGGATAGGACACTGCCAGTTAACACATGGCTACCTTATGAGAGGTCTCCCAGCAACCATGTGTGAAAAATGTAATAACATTCCACAAACAGTGAAACACTTACTGGGAGAATGTCCTCAATTTGAAAGTTATAGACAAAAAACAGGCTTAGCCAAAACATTAAAAGAAATCCTTCAAGATACTGAAGAAACAGTCAATACTTTGTTTAAATTTTTGAAGTTAATAGAATATTACAAAATAATATAAATCATAGTAAAACGCCAATGACCCTTGAGGGTAGAGGCGCGAAAGAGAGAGAAAAAATAAATTCATACCAGTTTCTGTAATATACTGTCGTCAGTTAAAATGTCAGACGTCGGTCATTCTTGAATATAAGTTCATATGATTAGACCCCTCTCATCTTGGTAGAAAATTTATACTGGTAGTACACTAAGCAAGATATATTTTATTATTCTATCATCTTCTTTGGAGTAGTTTTGGCCCTTTATAAAATAAATAAATAATAAAAAGCGTGTAAAGACTATTAGCAGATGTCACAGAGAAAATAGCGAATGAAATTTATGTTTGTCCATTTAAATCAAATCTAACAAGTCGTTTTCAACATATAGAGGTAATCATGAAACTACATTTGGTCATATATCAGCAAAAATATTGGTTGAATTTGATAAAACAGACAAGGGACTATCGAAATATCACAGTTCCTGAACATTTTAGAAACGTACCAAAAACCCCGTTCTGTTACTTTATTTTTTAATATTATTTTTAATTTAATTTCCAACGAAACAGATGCGAATCAGATAATGGTTAATGAGAACTTTTTGTACCTATTGAAGGGTGGATTTGGCCCGTGAAGTGAATGGTTCTCATGTGGCACGCCTTTTCTGGAAGTATTCTACAAGTATTCTAAATATTCCTTAGGAAGGACTATCTATTTAATTTCTTTATATATAAATAATCTCATGTATTATAATAAGTTTTAAATCGAATTACTGGCTTTTAAGTGTTATTTTTTGTTGTTAGATAAATCATGATAAAGTGGTCGCTGTCGCTATGCGCGGTGTTGGTGGCGATCAGCTCAGCAAATGCTCAGCTATACCTGAACAGAACCCGAAGGCAAACAGGTAGGAGATTATCAAATAATTTCTTAACTTATTTACGACGGAATGATCAGGGAAAAATTTATTTTTTAATTACTATTGAAATGTATGTTTTTACCGTTATTTTATTACTATAGTAATAACCAATGGATATGTATTTTACTATATTTTAAGAATATGATGTTTAAGGGATCAGAAATAACTCAAGTTATATAATTTATTTAATTAAGTTACTCATATATATATATATATATATATATATATATATATATATATATATATATATATATATACATATATATACATATATATATGTACAATATATATATATATACATATATATATATATGTACAATATATATATATATATATATATATATATATATATATATATATATATATGTACAATATATATATACATATATATATGCACAATATATATATACATATACATATATATATATATTCAATATATATATATATATATATTATAGAGTATCATCAAATCAAAGAGTATTATATAACATAATGTTTTATCATTGTAAATAAAGAATTTTATTGCTTTATATCTTTTTAGGGGTGGAAAGAAAGGGTCCCTGTTTTTGATTACTAATTAATTAACTTATTAGAATAAAATTTAATGTTTAGTGACAATAAACAAGTGCAGAATAAGCGGCACCAAAGCCCATGTATGACATTGACCCCGATAGGATCTTTATATTTAAAATATGTAACGTCAATTTGTAGAACTCGTAACTTTTTTTCTGTTTGTTTTACCATTCATCGACGCAATATCATCGTCTGGATTACTAATTTAATTTATTTGTAATTCATTCAAATAAAAGATAATAAAATAATGCAAGAAACTCTTTTCAAGTCTAGATCCTTATCTAAACATCTTTTACAGGTCAGCTGGTTGAAAGATGTAGTTTATATGTAAAATTTCAAATTGAAGTGGCAAAATTTCACCGCCTATTAAACCGGGAAAAATAATGGATAATATTTAGACGAAATAAACAATTAGTCTCTTTAAAAGAGAATTCACCTTGACTGACATCATACCCAGTTGCGTTTTGAAAAAAGTGAAAAAAAAAAAAAAAGAAATTCCCCATAAATTTATCCCTGGATGAGGAACTGCAGCAAGTCATAAGTAAGTGTTCTTCGCAAAATATAGTTTTCTTTATTCGCTGATAATTCTTAATCTACGCATGTCTAAAAAAACACGCTATCAATAGTGAAAAAGCATTAAACTTCCTCCCATAGTTCATGTAGGGCCCTTAATATATGAAAAAGTGGAAGAAAGTCGTTAGAGGACTAGGAAGGAATATTTCAGTCCCTGGATTTTAAAATATATTAAATTTTTATGTCAATTATATCCCGTAACATAACAAAATCTGATAAATTGTTTCTACGTAAATAAAATTAAGTTAAGTTTTTACAAAGCAAAACAATTTAAATTGGTTTGAATAAAAATTGAAATACGCCTCAAAATTCGCATGAATGACATTCTAGCTAATTAACTTTTCTACAGAGATTTTATAGGGCATTTAATGGTCTATCTATTTGAACGTATAAAATTCTACGAAAAAAAATTATGAGTTATCATCGAAAAATAAAAGAAGAAAGCTATGTAGACCTATCCCCTCATATATTATTTCACTTAAGCTCGAAATTGGATTTGTACCAAATATTACCTCCTTTTATTTTCCGTCCTCCGCTTCCTTGCCTTTAAGGCTACACGGGGTTTTCCCGGGCCAGGGGGTGTGGGCTGGGATTTAAAAGACTCCCCCGGCACCGGGACGCGAACTCAGGACTATTTTATATCAATTGTATCATATATCAGGTTGCCGGTCAACGGCGGTGCTGTGCACACACGTTCGACCACCCCGCCCACCAAATATTAGCTCCTATCATGATCAACTGCCAATAATGGGGCATGCAGCTATAGTAAGAGTACAATGTTTAAACAATTTGTAACAATCTTGATGTTTTGAAAGGTTGCTAAATTCCCTGAAAAACAAAAAAACATCGAAATGGAACCATTATTAGTAAATTCAAATTAAAACACATCTTTACTTTAGTCATATATATTTTATCTTTATAGGTCCATCTTGCGTCACACCGGATCGAATCCAAGGTATCTGCGTGAATATCCGGAGTTGCCCGACATTGTTGAACTTACTTAAGAACTCACACTCCGAACCTGGAGTGAAGGATTTCTTGCGAAGGTAAATAATTTTTAATAGTACATTTTTATATAATATCTAAAATTATATATCAATAAGTTAGTTAGTTATTCAATTTTTAAAATTTCTTTTTGGCTTTAAATATATATATATATATATATATATATATATATAAGTTAAGCGTCTCCGGGCTTTAAAAATAAAAAAAAAAGAAGGAAAGAGGAACGAGAAACAATACTCACGGCTTCTGAATAAACACTGCTTTATTCGTCCAATAATCTGCCTTATATACAATTGCTATGTTTATTTACATTACAAGATGGTATTAAGGCTGATATCGCCAGTCTCCGGTCTTTATCTCCCCCCCACCAGTTTACGAATAGGATGTTCGGAAACTTATAAATTCCCAGATCGGAGCCACCGGTATCAGCCTTAACCCTTTACAATTATTTGTACCAGTATAAAGTTAAAGTACAGCAAACCTCACTTCCACTCCGCTGGAACGAGAAATAAATAAAAAGAAATAAACCACAGAAAGTAAACACACAACGTCTTATTAACAATGGAACAGAGCTCTTAATCCTATAAAACTTACAATCACCTCTATTATGCTGCCATATCTTTATTTACAAGAACAACAAAAATAATAAAAAAAAATGACATCATCAACAGTAATAATAATAAAAAAAACATATTTTTTTATAATACGCGATAAGGGTACTACGAATCAATTGGTTTTTGTACCGGTTCTAACATTGGGAGCTTCAATTGTTCAATATGAACAGTTCTCCTCTTCTTAGGTTCGTTAATGCTTTCAATGGTTACCAGATTATGCTCCCTAATAGCAATCACTCTGAATGGGCCCTCGTACCGTAACAATTGTTTCCCTCTGTTGGTTCCAATTCTACGATACACTATTGTTCCGATTTTTAATTCTCCCATTCGGTCACGTACCTGCACATTCTGCCGCGCTACCCGCTTCTCCTTTTCCCGCTGAATTCTCCCCGCTACCTTCCCCCACGTCTTTCCTACCTCTACCCTAGTATTCTGGATTTGCTCTACGAGATGTTCATTGGTCGTTGTTTCCCCCCAATCTCTCCTTGGCCTGCGCATCCCGAATAGTATTTCCACAGGTGAAAACCCCGTTACGGAGTGGATCGAATGGTTGTAAGCTGTTACGGCTTTCTTCATCGCAACATCCGGCTCCAACCCTTTCTCTCCCTGATATACACGGATGTGGTCACTCAACGTGCTGTGCAAGCGTTCGATTCCTCCTCTACTCTTAGGGTGTCCCGGTGTGTTATAATGCCACACAACCTCTAACCTTTTCACCTCCTCCCTAATCGCGGTATTGTCGAATTCTCTACCACCGTCTGATGTGATCCTCTCGGGAACTCCGTAAAACTGTATCCAGATTTGTAGGGCTTCCGCAACTGCATTGGCAGACTTGTCCATGACCTGATGTGCCATAGCTACTTTACTAAAGGTGTCGATGACCGTGACCCACTTGAACCCTTTCCAGGTGAATGTATCGATCTGGAGGTCTTGTAGCGGCATATTCCCTGTAGGTGTCTCTTCCTGAACTCCTCTGGGGGGGTGTCGATCATACTTTGTGCGCATACATACCTCGCATTTCCCGATGATTCCTTGGATAGATTTTTTCATTCCCCACCAGAAATACTTTCGCCGTAATGCCTGCAACGTCTCGTTGACGCCTCGGTGGTTGGTCTTCCCCTGGTGGTATGCCAATGTAATTGCTTGTTGCTGCTCCTCATCCTGTACGGTTTCCACTGCATACTTGCACCGGATGATCGTTCTATCCATGCCTATCCGCTCGGATCTCCACATCCGCTTTATTTTCTCCCATACCGTGTTGTTCCCAACATAGAGATGGTGTGTCTTTCCCGGCTCCGTGGCGTCCTTCAGTGCCGTACGGATTTGCTCCTCGCTCACCCCGGGTTGCGACCAAATGACGCGAATCCTACTTTTCCCGTATCTTCGGTAATCTATTTTCATGATCCCTGTTGTCCTGGTTTTCCAGATTACCTGTCTATGCTTGTCGTTGATGATTTCGTCTATTTCCTCCATCGCCTCTGGTCTTTCCTCCGCTGAGCTATCTTCTTCCGGGGACCCCTCCCTGTCCTCTATACTGACGGTATCATCTGCCCCTTCACCCTCAGGAGTCCATTCCCTCAAGAATTGGCGCACGTCCCGCGATGGACCTCCTCCGTCCTCTTCTACCGCGTTGATCATGATGGCCCTAGAGAGCCAGTCTGCCACCACGTTTTCCTTTCCCGGCTTATACACCACCTCCATGTTGTACTGACTAAGGAATTCTTTCCATCTCGTGACCCTCGCAGAGGTTTCCTTAAGTTTTCCTACCCACTGAAGGGGTTTGTGATCGGTGTGGACTCGAAACTTCCTCCCAAATATATACGGCCTGAAATGGTCGATGGCCCACACTATCGCGAGTAGCTCCCTCTCTAACGCGCTGTACCGTGATTCCGCGCTCGTAAGTCGTCGGCTCGCGTATGCTATCGGACGTTCACCCTCACTTCTGCCCTGAGATAAAACGGCCCCCAACGCGTATTCGCTCGCATCGGTGGTGACGTTGAACTGCTTCTCAAAATCCGGGAACGCCAATACGGGTTCTGCCTGCAACCTATCCATGCATATCCGAATATTATTTTCCATTTCCGGTGTCACCACGATCCTCGCGCCTTTCTTCAGCAAGTTATTGATAGGTACCAAGTATTCTGCCATCTCAGGTACGAATCTCCTATAATAATTCAGCGTCCCGAGAAGCCTACGAATCCCTTTAACGTCCCGTGGCACCGCCATTCGTGTGATAGCCTCCACCTTTGCCGCATCCGGTCTGACCCCCTCGCTAGAAATAGTGTGGCCTAAAAAATTGATTCGCGTTTGTCCCAACAGGGACTTCTCACTTGACAGTTTCAGCCCGAATTGTCGCAGCCTTTCGAATACCGACCTCAAATGCCCCACGTGTTCGGCTTCCGTTCTGCTAAAAATCAACAGGTCGTCCATGTATACTTGACATACGGAGTCGTCGATCCCCCTCAGAAATTCGTCCATCAGGCGTTGAAAAGTTATGGGCGCATTCTTCAGACCAAACGGCATTCTGGTGAATTCGTAATGCCCCCTTTCGAATGTAAACGCCGTCTTATGTTGGTCCTTCGGGTGCATCCGTATTTGGTGGTATCCCGCCTTGAGGTCCAACGTGCTAAACACCACGGCCCCACTCAACCTATCAAGTATATCTTCGAATCTAGGGATCGGGTACTTTTCGTCTACCGTGTTGTCGTTCAACCTACGATAGTCCACTACCACTCTGTATTTTTCCTTATTATCCCCCGGCGCTGCCTTCTTTTTCACTGCCCACAGGGGACTATTAAATGGCGAGGTGCTATCGACTATGATCCCTTGCTCTTTCAGGCTTTCCAATTCCTCCCGAATATGCTGCCTCATCGCCTGCGGGTATCTCCTTTCCTTTACGTAGGTCACCCTATCTTGCTTCAGTGGAACTTCGTGTACCGTCTTCCCTGTTACCCCCAATACCTCGCCCTCCCTGAAGAAAATATCTACGAACTCCGCTTGTAACGCCTTTCTCCAGTCCTCCACCCTGTTCACCGCTCCTATCCGCACCCTTCTTTCTCTCGCGACCCCTATACATCCAAATTTCCTCTTTCCCAGCCTGATACTCCAAGCTCCTCTACGGTTTCTAATGCTTACCCCTACCTGTCCTAACAGATCACACCCTATTATGACTTGGTACTCCCGCGCCATGCTCTCTACCACATGCACCCTTAGCTCCCCCTTTTTCCCTGCCCACCGGTCAAGCGTAATTGACGCTTCCCCTTCTACTTTACAGGGACCACCCAGAGTGATTAGCTGGCAGCCACAGTTTTGTATCCGGAGTACCCTCTCGCTCCCGCACACTCTCCCCAACGCCCCCCGAGTCAAGATAGTACTCGAGCTCCCTGTGTCCACGAGACACTTCACTCCCCGATCTACTTCAATAATCGGCAACCAGCATGGCTTACCTCTAATATTGTTGCAGGTTGCTGTGCGGTCGCCTCTCTGCTGACACCCTTCTCAGATGCCACCTCGCTTCCTCCTTACCGCCGTCGCTCGTCGTTGCTCGCTCCGTTGGCTGCTCCTGCCTCCTTCGCCTCCACTGCTGGCTGGCTCGTCAGTCTCCGTTCCCGACGTCCCCGACTCCTCGGTTGCCTCTTCCGAAGATCCGTCTCTCTGCTGCATCCTAGCTCGTTTTTTCAACTTTTGAGCGTTCACCTCCATTGGCTCGTCTAGAGGTCTCTCCCTCCTGCGAAACATGTACGGGCACTGTCTGGCAATATGCCCTTCAGTCCCGCACTCGAAACATCTAGTGCGCGGACATTGTGCTACCAAATGTCCCGGTTTCCCGCACCCGTGACATTTTCGGTCTTCCCTCCGGGGTCCATTCCTAGGCCTGGACTGTCCGGATCTTCTCTCGCCCGTCGTGGCTTTTTCTCCGTTCGGGTGTTTCATTTCCCTCTTCCTCCACCCTATCTGGGCTGTCCGGGGTCGTCTGTCACTCACTCGGGTCCACCCTGGTTCTTCTACTTCCATCCGCGTCTCTTCCTCTCTTGCACTCAGATCTATCATTTCTTGGGCACACTCGAGGAACGATCGCTCTCTAGGCAGTCCGTCCCTTCTCCCAGTCTCCTTAGCTAACTGAACCTTGAGTATTGTCGAAAGGAATTCCATCCTAGCCTCGACCTCTCCCACACTCATGGTTTCACGCATTTTCTCAGTTATGCGGTTGTACTTCGCCACTAGTACCCCCGCATACTGTCCTCTTGTTTGGCGTTGGGACCGACACTCCCTAAACATTTGGAAGATATCTTCTTCCGGCGTCCATCGGCCTCCTCCGAAAGCCTTCTTCAAACGCTCCTTAATCACTGGCCATGGTGTCTCCTCGTCCGCTTGGATTTGGTTGAGGATGTTCCTCCTCACTCGGCACACGAGAGCTGCCTTCAGTGCTTCTGCGTCTCCCAGGTTCACGAGGTCCTCCGCCACCTTTGCTTCGATTCTTGATATGAGGCGGTCTCCGCCTTTCAGGAAGTGATTAAGTTCACCTATCTCGCCCCCGAATCGCTCCAGGTCTGCGATTGCTCTCCGTAGATCCTGCGTGGTTGCTGCCCTTATCTTCATCCACTCCAATGCATTGGCATGCGCCTCTGCCAATGTGTCCCTAGGTAAGGGAGGGATCTCTTGTATCTGCGGTACTTGAGGTATCTGAGGTATCTGCGGAATCTGCGGAACCTGAGGGGCGATCTGAGGAATCTGCGCTATCGGCATTTCCTGAGGTTGCGGCATTTCAGGTGCGTTCAACACTCCTGGTCGAATTATGCCCTCTGTCGGCATCTCGTCTTTTCCTTATGACTAGGAGAAGAGAAAAAAAAATTAAAATAAAGACAGAAAAAAAAATTTTACTTCCGTGTTCTCCTGACGTTCTCCCGGGTTTCGGCACCAGTTAAGCGTCTCCGGGCTTTAAAAATAAAAAAAAAGAAGGAAAGAGGAACGAGAAACAATACTCACGGCTTCTGAATAAACACTGCTTTATTCGTCCAATAATCTGCCTTATATACAATTGCTATGTTTATTTACATTACAAGATGGTATTAAGGCTGATATCGCCAGTCTCCGGTCTTTATCTTATATATATATATATATATATATATATATATATATATATATATATATATATATATATATATAGTAGACAATAATATTTTATTTATTCAGGGACGAGTCCCTATATAATAGTTAACAAGGATAGAATGTGAGCTTTTGTGCTTAAGTGTAATTATATATAAGTATAATTATGAGATAAACAAATAGATATAGTAGAATATATGTGTGTTTTTATCTTCGAAGTTAAATCAATTCAGAAAAAGTGACAGAAACATCCAATGAAAATAATCGAAAATAACAATAATATATATACATATTTATAGAAATACCTATTAACAATTTTATAGGGACTGGGTGGAAAGGAAGTGAAATTGAATAGGCGGAATTTAAAAGTAGAGAGGGTATTGGAGCGACGGATTTTGGGAAGAATGGAGTTCCATAAGTGATGAGGATCGAATTATCAAATATCTATCAAAAGCAGCGGTTCGGTAAGCATCTGAAGACCGGGACCGGGTACTGCGGGAGTGAACAGAGGATTTAAATTGAAGGAGTCCGGAGATATATGAGGATTGAGTGACGGGATTGAAATGACTTTGGACTAGTCGTTCCAGTGGTTTTGAAAGGTTGGAAAGGAGAGAAATAGGAGGGAAGTCGTGAAGTGAGGAAGGGTTTGAAGTTTTATTTAAAGGTCGGACTAGTGTGGTTTTCCAGAAATATGGGAACATGGAATTTCATAATGAAAAGTTGTAGATATCATAAAGTATGGAAATAAGGGATAAGGGAAGGAAGGAATGTATTTAGTTTTATTGAAATATACTCAGAACCATAATGATTAGTGTGAGATTTGAGGATAGAGGAAAGTAATTCATCGCAGGACATATGGGACAAAAAGAAGTCTTCCTAATTGAAATTATGATGTTTAATATCGGAAGTAGGAGAAAGATTATGAGTGTAGGACAAGAAATAGTTATCGAGATCATCTTGAGATTATTGAGCTAGGAATTGAGATTACTGGATTCTGGTAGGAATAGATTACGGAGTATTTTCCATTTAATTGCAATCATGAACATTGCAAAGGGCATTATGGAAGCAAGTGGCTTTAGCAAGTCGGATTTGGTTCCATTGCGAGGTTCCTTGAAAAATGTATATTCCACAGGCAAACGGAATCGACGGTATTTGCGCCTTCTGCATCTCTTTGCAATCACCAAACGGTTTGAATATTGGAGCGAATAATGACATCTCAAGCAAGGGGGATAAATGTATCAGTAAATTGCGTTTCTTATGTACATCTATTACCATTATTTTTTCTCCAGTGGTCTCTACCTAGCCATTTCTGTTTGAGGGATTGTGTGTAACTCTGGCTAGAATAGGTTTGGTTGTACCTCTAAAACAACCACTCGCCAGTATGCCAGAAATAGTGGGTAGGAGATATTGAAAGTGAGAAGGTGTAGATTCATTCCGTCGGTCCGCCACGTGGCTAAGCCCGCACGACTTCCTATGCACCTATTATTGTCAATCCTATTTCGATGAAATTTTCAAGGATTGTTCTGAGTTGGTACTTAGATGGTCTCATATTAAATTTTCTAAAATTCCGTAGCCTACGGATGCGCATTGTCAGGAACTAACGCATGCAGAAAAGGCACTATTTTCCTTGACAGAACGTTATTTAAAAAAACCGATCGTCTAATCTGAAAGAAAAGTGGGGACTAGTTCAAAAATAATAATGTACCAATTTTATTGTGTCCCCGTTATGTAAAACGCGTTAGATAAGCGAGATGTTAAAAAAAAAAAATTATTATCATAATTTTAATATAGAAAGTGAAAAAAAGAAATGCATATCAAATGCATATCAATCAAAAAACAAATTTAAATTAATTGATTTATAAATTTCAAATTTAGTCATGTAAACAGGTTATTATATCATCCATGAAATCCTAAGGTAAGGGATGTTCAAATTCCAACTATGTAAATTTAGTTTTGAGTCGTAGGTACATTATAACGATTGTTGGCAATATTATTAAAAACATACTCGTTCATGAGAAAAGCACTCTTCAATTCGCACAATTTTTTTAATTAATTATATTTATGGTTTGATGATTGTGGTCATTTTTAATTATGTTCATATACGTAACTCAATTATATCAGATATAACGTTTATGGGGCGCAATGTAAATTTACTTCATATATAAATTATAATTAATTAAATTGTATTGTCAATAATCATAGTAAAATAATTTATTATAATAACTCAAACATAAGATCTATATATATGTGTCATTCCCTTTCTCGTCTTTTAGGGCATGCCGTTTATTTACTGGGTCAGGGGAAAAGGCGGAGTATGAATTCCAGGACGCGAACGTAATTATTTTGTCAAATTATAATCAGGTTATCAGGTTGCTGTGAAATTAAGGGGCGGAGGACCACCAAACTGATAAACAGATAACTTGATAAAATAAATACGAGTTCGCGTCTCGATAACATGGGAGCTTTAATCCCCCGCCCTCTCACCTGAGATCTCAAAAATTCGCATAGCCTAAAAGACATGGAAGCTGAGGACAAAAAAGAAAAACCGTTGCTGTATAACGCGTGTTTACCACACAAGTTAACCCGCTCAGCCACCCCGCCTCCATATATTCCATATTGTAGAAAATATATGCTGTTATGTTTGAGTAATTAAAATTTTCTACATTTGTTCCTACAGTTCAAAGTGTAATCCAGATGTTCCCTCCGAAGTATGTTGCAAAATGGAGCGGCAAGAATCGCAAGATTACCCCACATTAATGTCACCACCTGAATGCGGAAAAACTTACGTTAACCAGCAGCCCAGAATCGTAGGAGGGCAGCCAGCTGAATTAGGTAGCGTATAGTAAATTATATATTTTATTACCTACAAGTATTAGAGAGGAATATTTTATTGAAAGTAACGCTGCTCTACTACATAGGGTAGCTTTATACACAGCTAGTGTTGCCCAAATTGATAGCCCAGCGAGTCTTGGTCTTGGTCTTGCGCAAGGGTCTGGCAACAGTCTTGCAGTTACCTGTTAGCTTATTTATATAGAGATATTACTGTAATTTTTCAGATAGTGGAAACCTAACTAAACCCGTATAAAAATAGGAAGAGTTGAATGCAAAAGTATATTATTTATACCAATTCTTTACATATGGTTACTAAAATTGTCAATTATTAGTAACTATTTTGTCTTAATTTTTATTCACAAGACAATTGTTTTTTACCAGTCTTGGTCTAGGTTTTGAATTCAAGACCGAGGCCGATTTTGGGCAACACTATACATAGCATAATTATCAATCCATATGGACATAACTATTACATTACATTTTTCATACATTATATATATATATATATATATATATATATATATATATATATATATTATATATATATATATATATATATATATATATATACATATCTTTCTTTTTTTTTCATAATAGTAGTCTTATGAAGTGTCAACAATAAACCATATCAAGCTATTAACATTGTATAACGTACATATTTTCTTTTTAAAAAAATGCCAGGAATTTAACACTAAATTGTACACATATATATCTAAGTAATTCCACAAATACAAACAAAAGGATAAGACGATGCTAAAATAATTTAAAGTTGAATAAATAATTAATAAAAGACACCCTCAATTACTATATAAATGATAATGGATGATCCTTAGGGAGTCCAGAATAATATTCTCGGCCAATACAGCAAGCTCCCCAACATCAACACCTAATTCCTCGAGGAAGCTTTTTGGAATCATTCCGCGAGACCCAAACCAGAGGCATCTCATGGTGAACTCTCTCTTTGAAGGTCTCGCGGAATTTCTCTTTTAGATAAGGGATACATTTGTCATATATGTTCTTCTTTTCCCTTTCCTCTTCACCCGCTAGATCGAGGTCAATGTTCTCAAAGCGGACAGTTGGATCCAAGATCTGCTCTGTCCCTCCTGTCTTGAGAAACGATACAATATCCCCATATCTTGAAGAGCCTTCACTATCGATGCAATAGATCTCGTCAAAGCAAGTGAATTCCTTTTCTCTAAGGAGCCTTATCACCTCGGACTTGACCCTATGGTACCGGCGTGTTATGATGAAGGAGTTGTTGGGACATTTTTTCAGCACATGGGCTGGTGTTTCAGACATGTGCACATGTGCCGCATTTCTGACAGAGGGGCCTAACTTCCTTCGACTTCCCAACTGTTCTGCTCCAAGCTTTTGGTACTCCACGCAAAGCTGCGTAGTTGGCATTCAGTTTTAAGGCGTTGGACCATTCTTACCCCGAAAGCACTTGTTTCTGGCATATGCATTTATGAGCTTTCGGGGTTTCTTTAAAATGACGAACTCCAACGCCTTGCCACGTGCACCCGGCCCATTCTTCAAAATAATTTTCTCTTAGCAACTGTCGTGGAGCTATCACGCTTTCGGTAGTCCTGATCCACTCTTTCTGTACATTCTGCATTACAATCAAACGCGGACTGGAACAGGGTATCCAGTACATTGGACAGTCGCTATACCAATGCTGCAGAGGAGCCTCAAATTCACAGAAGATCAGTCCCAATCCGCGAAACGTGCTCAGTGCATACAGCATCGCAGTTGATGTATTAGCAGGGAGTACAATGGCCTTGATACTCCTGTGAATATGTGTATCAATTCCTTTCAATACCGCAGGACGTATCTTTGTGAGAGGCGCCGTCTGAGGAGGGTAGGTAAGTCTCGGGAACACGTATCGGTTGACAACGATGATCTTCTACTCCGGTTTAAGAAGGCATGAGCTATCTAATTCGTCTAAGTTTTTGTTTAATTTGGTCACCATTTCCTCATTTAGTACTAGCCTTCCCGAGAACGTAGGCCTGAAATACTTTATAATATCATCAGCAACTGATGATTCTAAAATCTCTCCGTTCTCTAGGGAGAGCTTTGTTTGTTGCAGCTATCCTTTATCGATTATTAATCCCACGCTTTTCTGTGTATTTATAGCTAGACCAATCCCGGCAATGATCCTCTGCACACCATTGATAATCCTCTCTACAGCACCCTTGTCACGTGCTGTAACAGCCTGGTTATCCGCGAAGCCTGTGAGGGCCACACATTATTGGTCACTGGTTAATTTATATGAATAGCGGTTGAAAAATTATTGTTCACACAGGTCATGGTATAGATGATCTATAGCCAGATTAGACAACGAGGGCGACAAGAGTTCGTATTGGGGTGCTCCTCGTCGCACCTTGATCCAGCTAGTCGATTGGGCTCTGATTCCAATCTTGATTTGGTTTAACCCCAGGTGAGCTACAATTACGTTTTTCAAGTCTGGTGACACTCCTCTTGTCTCTAGTGAGCTGATTATATGATCGTGACCAACGTTGTCAAAAGCGCCGAAGACATCTAAAATCACCACCACGCTATCATTCTTTTTGTTCTTAGCATATTTTATGATCGCGTCGATGATTCTTGCGCTCACATGTACTCCCGGTAGGGCCTTGATGAAACCCCTCTGATTTTTTCTGAAGGTAATATTTTTTCTCCGTTCATGGTCCAGAATCTTCTAAATGATTCCGTGCACAATCGAATAAATGGTAATTTGTCTCCATGCTAATATACTGTTGACATTTCCTTTACCATTGTAGATCAGGATTGTGCCCCATTGACGAAGAGGCTCTGGTGCATAAGCCACCTTCAGCATGATCTCTGCAATAGTCTTTATGATATGATATACATCAAAGAATTTAATCGTACGCATCAAAACTCCTCCCGGCCCTGACGATGTGTCTAATGACGTGAACATAAATAAATGGATTAATTTAGTAACAATTACTTAAATGAGCAACTCGCCCTGTAACATACTGATATCTAGAAAGCTACTGTAAAATAAAAATCTGGTATCGATAGAATGATAAAAGCGATGGAGGTATTTGTCATGGAGGAAATTAAATACAGCACAGCTGGAGAAACTTAGAGAGAATACTGAGGGGTTATTCCATGCCAAATCATCTAGAAAAAATTCGATTTGTAACCCACCCCCCTCAGACCTTAATGAAAATTTGTAAATATTAAGTAAATATACAAGTAAGTAAAAATACGAAATTCTATCCAATTCTAACGATTAGTTATAGAATTATGGTCATTTAAACTTTTGAAATATTTTAAGTTGAGAAGACATTTTGAGCTCAAAACAAGCATGTACCTATTATGTTTTCTTTCGTAAAACCAAAAAAATCTTACTTTTCCACTGTAAAAATTTTTCTCTTTAGCCCGCTTTAGCAATTTTGTTCTTTACATGTGTAAACCCATATATACTAGTTAAACAATAAATACTTTTCTCACATTTTTCATAATAGATTTCCCGTTTTGTTCCTCAAATCACTGGCCTATTATTCTTTAAATTAGCCGCCATTTTAAAGCAGCGGCTCAGAATAACATACACTTTCGCAATTTACAATCAAACCTTCGCCTGCGATGAGGTCGCTTTTCGGTCCCTGGATCCAGGGCTATATAGCCTATATATAAGGTACGGAAGGCCAAGCAGGTTATATTGGCGAAACAAGGCTCTGACAAAAAGTGACAAAATAATTTAGTACATACCTATTTCATCATGATGCATATATGAAATCTACAACATATATTCAGTTTAGAAGACTTTAATGGACAAAAATATGTTTTGTAGACACTTTTTTATTTGCTTATATCTAATACACGGTGGGCCAGACCCCCTTACCGTGCTCCCTCCCCCACATCTCTATAAATTGCATATCGTTGTGTTCCTTGTAACTATTTATTAAAAAAAAAGCCAATGTCCCCACAAAAAAAGTGAACGCACTACTCCAAAATGGCGTCCAAAGATGGCGGATTGACGACTTTGACTTAAGTTAGTTTTTTGGTCACTGATAATCAGCATTTGGCTTAATTTCCTCGTAATTGGTCTTTTATTAAAGCTGAATAGTCATAGAATAATAAAACATGAAGAAATATTAAAAAAATAATTGACTTAGGTTATGAAAAACACCAGTAAATTTAATTTTTTTAACAAACAAATTTTCAAGTTACAAATCAAGCGTCTTTTGTAATTAAACGGCCTACAATAACGCAAAACGTACTGAAATAAAACATCTGGAGAATATATTTATCTTTCTAAAACGCTGATTGTTTTTTTTTTTAATTTTAAGCGGTTCCGTAGAAAATTCACTTATGCGGCAGAAAAGCGATACTGGCGTGGGTGCCTACAGGCCTCTACCACACCATTCAGTACGCATAAATGGCTTAGTTATAGTGATATAACATTTTTGGTACATTTTTATATTGGTTTTATTAACGAACAAATATTAAGGCAATAATTACATTGAAAAAAAAATAAATAAAAAAAAATATTTTTTTTTAATTTAACCTCCTTTATTTCTATACGTAGGTCGTTTAAGAAGACCTCAATTGTAAAAATCATATAATTATAATAATAAAACTTAATTAAAAAATACTTTGCTAAATATCTTGATTTTTTTTATTTAACGTTTGAAATTTAACACTGTGTTTTGTATATTTACTGATTCTTAGAGGAAATTAAAAATTTTATATACTTCCCAGGAAATGAGTCATATTAATACCTGTTTTATAAACTGAAATAATATATACCTAATCTGAACTATATATTATGAATAGCTACCGGGTTGTTTAGTAAAACTCATATATCACTAATTAAAAAATTAATTTTTATTTCCTTTATTTTGTGCGGAAGTTGGACTATATCATAAATAAATAAGAAATTTTAATATTGAATGAATTATTCTCTCTGCACAAAGAAAGATGGGAAGGGTGAAGTTCTTCTATAAACCAGAATTGGTTTTTTGTTTTTGTTTTAATATTTCTTTATGTTTTATTATTCTATGACTATTCAGCTTTAATAAAAGACCAACTATGAGGAAATTAAGCCAAATGCTGATTCTCAGTGACCAAAAAACTAACTAAAGTCAAAATCGTCAATCCACCATCTTTGGACGCCATTTTGGGTTAGTGCGTTCACTTTTTTTTGTGGAAACATTGGCTTGTTTTTAATAAATAGTTACAAGGAACACAACGATATGCAATTTATAGGGATGTGGTGAGGGGGGGGGAGTACGGTAAGGGGGTCTGGTCCAAAGACTATAATAGCATTAGATCAATTGATCTTAATTCAGTGTTATAAGATTTCTATTTTTTTTTTAAATATCTAGTTATACATGACTCTTTTGTAAAAATGTTTGTTTTCTTTTAGGTGCCTGGCCATGGATCGCTCTTCTCGGTTACAGAACAAAAAATTCACCAGGTCCTTACTGGCAGTGCGGTGGTTCACTCATCAGCGAGCGCTATGTAATCACCGCAGCCCACTGCATCAATCCCCGGCCCCTAACACTGTAATTTGATGATATATTTCTTTTATGACAGAATTGCCAAATTTTTAATATAAAAAATTCAATATGTCTTATTACAAAATATGAAATTATAGGTGCCTGTACATTTCAACAATAAATGGCAATATAATAAAAGGCTTAGTGAACCTAAAGGTTTGAAGCTATCATAATCCGATGTCTAGATGACGTCTATACTACTTCTTCAATGCACACGCGTTTCGGATTATCTTAGTAGTCTAAGAGACTGTGCAAGAAAAATCAAGTTATTTCATCCAGTTTTTGGACAAAATGGTGTAAACTACATACACTTTAACGTAAGATTCGATTACTCTGATAATTAGGGAAAAGGGTAAATTAAAAGTAACGGCATTTTAATTTTTAAAATCCTCAAATGTTAAAAACACCTCAAAATTCAGGCTATTTCGTACTTCTTCGTTTTTGTCACATTTGAAACTAGGTATGATACAGACACAAAAGAAGCCACTCTGCCATGTCCGTCTTCCAAGCGTTGTGCAGATAAAATGCTAAATCCAAGATTTAAAAAACTCAAAATTCGAGTTATATTATATTTGTTCGAATTTTTTGGCTCATTTAATTTAGGTTTGATACTGACACGAAAGTAGCAACTCTGCCATGTTTGTGGTCAGTGCCGGTCTTTGGGCAATGACGTCATCCCCCCTCCTAAAAAAATTAAATTGTTTTCTTTAGCTGTTTTTATTAGGTAATATTTGAATTTCATTTCATTCAATATTTCTCTAATAATGTTGCTTTATCGATAGGCTAAAGTTGAATATTTTAATACGTTTTGTATTTTTTTTTATTTCCAATATGAGTCGAGCTCCAGTAAAGACCGGTCGGCGCTCCGGGGCAATTGACGCGGTTGCCACTCTAAGGCCAGCAGCACTGCTTGTGGTTGTGTAAAATCCAAAATCGAAGTTTGGACAGTCGAAAATATAGTTGTTTTTTAAACGAATTTATATGTAGTTAAAAATGAATCATCGTGAAATAACTTGGATTTTGAACTTTTTAAACTTAGAATTTAACTGCACTGAAATATGACTGAGCGCTCTTCATATCACAGACATGGCAGAGTGAATTTTATTGTGGCTTTAACAAACCTAGTTTCAAATGGGACAAAAACAAAGAGGTATGAAAAAACACGAATTTTGAGCTTTTAAACTTGAATTTTGGATTTTGTTTGCACAACTCTCAAAACATCACCGACATAACACAGTGGTTTTTATTATGTCAGTACTAACTTAGTTACTCTTCCGATATTCATTGAGCGAACAGACCTCATGAAGGCTTGAAACTTGGGTCGAAACGTCGACACCAAGAAAATTAATATAATTCATTTTCGTGTACTTTTAATGAATGACTGCAATCCCCAATCCAATTCTTTTATATAGAATCTGCAGTCGATTCCTTCTCCACCATTTTTATTTTTATTTAATGCTACATTTTGGACACTTTACATCCAAGCTAGATTTACTAGTTACTTTGGTATTTTTCACTCAAACAGAATATTATACAGCTTCTAATGGTGAAGTTGGCGAGCGCTCATGACTGTGCGCCCGGTTTGGATGGTGAAGGGCAAAATATGGTTCGATTTGGAACGTTCTGAACAACCCTCCGTTCCCTGGTGATACATCAAAGGAAAGTGGATCTTCGAGAGCACTGTATTTGGACAGAATTTCAAATCCACATTAGCACTTATAAACATGTTATTTATATAAACATTCAGAATAAGGAGATTCATCATTAGTTTCCGAGTTCTTTTTTTTTTTTTTTTTTTATTTATTAAGACATATAATATTCTGTCACGGAGACAATAATTATGTTGATAAATGAACACATTCACACCGTATATACAAAAAAAAAAAAAATAATAATAACGAAAGTAAAATAATAACTAAATAATAATAAATAAAAACTATATACAATGAAAAATAAAATAACCTAAATATAAGTAAATTAAAAACATGAAAATACAGTCATACCTATATACAATATAGTTTCCGAGTTAAAATTACTATTAAAGTGTCCTTTAAAATTATTTAATCAGCATATCTAATCGTCTACGATATTATTATTTTTATCTCTAATCCCATTCGTTACAGAATTAAAACATTTAAGCAGGCAATTCTTGTACATGTCTCTTAGTAACATGTCTATATTTGTATAAATAATCTTTCATGTTTTTTTCAGATATATTATACGGTTGGGCGAAAGTGAACTGGACAACGACAACGATGGAGCAACACCTATTGATATATTAGTGGAATCAGTTCTGGCACATCCAAATTACAGTTTCAGTACGAAACTTGATGACATCGGCCTTGTAAAATTGAAGGAAACTGTACCGTTTTCTAGTGAGTACATCTTAAATTACAAGATAACAAATTGTTCGAAAGATATTAGTTTTGCTATTCTTAGTTCATTGCTAAAGCCTATCTCCAGTTTATTGTTTAATTTATCAGGATCAAAGAAGCGATCAATCGTCATTCAAATCAATATATTCATTTGAATGCTTAGTCTCTTTACTCGCCCAAGTGGTTTCCAGTTTTCTTTTTTATCAATGACTGGTATAAGTGATATAGTGACGATTCTGGCAAGAAAAAACTTAAGGTTCATTAAAGCAATTAAAAAATACAAAAAAGCAAAAAGTACTTCCTTTTCTAGTACTTCCTTGAAATTTATCCATTGTATAAAAATTAAAATAAACCTTTTCTGTTAGTGTTATATAAAATAAATATTTGTCATTTTAAAAATATGATTTAATAAGGAAAAAAAAGGAATACTTTCGCAGAAAATAATTAATAACTTTTTTTTATTATCAATTTTTTTCCTAGTGTTTACTTCATGAGTCATTTTAATATAGTGCTTCGATGCTTCCAATTTACTAATTTAGTTAGATGATCAAGTTATCCTGGGTATAACAAAAGATCCAAGAAATAGAATTATACTATTGACTAAAAGAGACATCCACAAAGAAAGATTGCAAACCATAGAGGATAACAGGCAGGCAGGAAATACTCGCGAATCTACCAGACAGGAAAAAAAGGGAAAATAGAAAACGATAAATACACAATTGTAAGGGAGAATGGCATTGTAACAGCATTGAAATAAAAAATACTAAGTCTCTGTAAAGAACATTTTTAGGAACTTCTCAATCAAGGAGAATCCATGAACGAAGAGGAAATGGACCACACTGAGACCCACAGGAGATTAAAAAACCAACAAGGGCAATTTTAGCCGATATACCATTTTGGATTTTTCTTAGTTTCAGGTAGATAACCTAAGATGGTGATACAATTTTATGACCAGATGATTTATGGGATTTAGATTGCCATAACCAGCATTAGTTGAAGTAATTGAAAAAAACAAAACAATTAGAGGACTAATCTCGCTGCCCACTTGAGGATTTCGGCAATGTTCTACAACAGCGACATCAATCCCGAATACATCTGTAATGAGATTGTTTTACTGCTGTAAAATCATATCCCAGTTAATCCACGAATGCGAAATTTATTTCGGTGCTGACCCACGCAATGAATCTCGACCTTCCTACTATGGTTACAATAGGTTGGTTATACTTGAATAATAACACTTTCTCCTTTCCCTCCTCCCATATGCCAGAAATGGCCAATTAGGGACTCGGAGAGCGATTCAAAAATCCTAACGTGGTCCAGAAACTACACGAGTATGAAGTTCTCTACAACTTTATAACATCTCACAAGCTATTTCCTAGACCGGAAAGAAAAAAAAGAATAAAATTCGAAGGAAATGAACACAACGTTGGATGGTAGATAAGCGTTGAAAATCATACTCGAATTATAAAAATCCTGGATTTACCAATGCAAAATCACGAAATGAGCCGATCTCTTTTACAAAAGGATGTAACCGCTTCTTTTGTAACACATACATTGATTCTGTGCGGCATTCGATTATAAAGACTAGAGATGTCCAGAAAGTGGTTTCGTGGCCCAAGTTGTGCCATCAAAATTTTTGAAGGTGCACATTTTTACGCGGATTTGAGGTGGGCAAATTTCTTTGGGGTTATGAATTTTTGGAATGAAAAGTTTCAATCCAGCTGACAAAGAAAAAAAGCATGGACCAGACTACAGCAAGTTTAATTTTATATCAGCTATGATTTTCCCAATTCTACTTTTGCTGTTGTTTTTTTTTAATGAGTAACAAAATTTCTTGGGAGGGGGGAGAGGAGCTAGATTCCTGCGCTTATCGACCTTGGGGAGAATGGGCATCCCTGATAAAGACCGCTGCTTATTATGACACCCTGTGCTGGTAGCACGGCCTGCACTGCTTTCGATGAATTAAGAGCGAGGTTAATGAGAACCACGGGAATTTACCTCCTCACTGAGGACGAGTTTCCTCAGCTGGTGAGTGAAGAAAACTTCACGTTTATAAATGGCTGGAAGACGGCGGTGGGCCCAGCTCACTTCAACCTAGGTGCACGAAGAAGGAGAAGAGGACCAATCCCAGGAAGACCTCCGGATCCGGGAAGTCAGGCCTAATTTGCTGAAGAATGAGGAAAAGTAGAAGAGCTAGCTGTGTGCACAGCTTAGAATTTTGTAATATTCTGGCAGTAGTGTGTTATTGTGCATTAATGCTTAACATCACACTACTGCATACACCCGTGTTGCCCTGGTGGCATGGGAGGGTGGAAAACAAATAAAAAAAAAAAAAAATGGTACATACTCCACCAATAATGCAACGCAACAACTGTATTGCTCTAACGTTCACCAGAATTCTCGTTGTATCGTGTGTGACATTATATCCAGTTTTCAAATTATAGGCCTTCATCATCTATAATTCAGCATCCATTTTATTTTTCCTTACCCAGACTGCAAGAAAGCGATTTCATAACAAATCAAACAAAGAAATTCCAAGAATTTTTTAACTCCCCCAAAATGTGTAAAGCCATGCTTACTAAGAAAAAAAGTCCTAATAATGTTAATCTATTCAAGTTAAAAACATATGGCTGGTTAGGTATAGCCAAACCAATTTTATTTTTTCGACTGAGAATTTTTTTGTCTCCTCTATTCCCATAATCTAAAGGAGGAATTCCATTGAGAAAACACTGAAAGACATGTAGCTTGATATTTGTTTCCTATTGTAGCCGTCCGACTATGCGGCATAAAATACAATTGATTTCGTACACTTGTGTAGCATGTGGCTAAAGCGATTCCATTCAGGCAACTTCAGTTTGGTACATCATGTCATTTTAGAAACAGTCGCGGCACCTGCATATTTGGTAATCGCTTTGAATCATAAAAGAAAAAAAAAAACACCACGAATTTGGAGAAGAGAGCTAAAGGTCAAGAAATTGAGTATAATTTAATATTTCACGCTTGAAGAGTAGTGGAAAATTCATTTTAGATCGGGAGACTGTCATCGTGTCGTCACCTAATCACTCAGCAGTTGGCAATATTGATTTGAATACATCGACTTCCAATAAAAAATTCAGTAGCTCATAAGCAAACCATTCCACATTTTTGCTAGAAGATCAGCCATTCTTTTCTTGCTGAAGTTTTTTGCGCTCGCGATGAAATGCTGGCAAATTCTTAATTATTTTGTACCTCTATCACCGTACAATTATATTTTCCTCTTTAAATAAATTAACCAATTATTTTGACCTGCGTCACCGTACAATAATTATATTTATTCAATAATTAAAATCTTAATTTTTATATCTTTGTATTCGGTAATTTTATTATTCCATAATCCGGAAGAATTGTGGTAATCGTCAATAAAATACGTACTTTTTTCGTTCGTCCACTCCATGTTGCCCGCAACAAGCCGCCCCGATCCGAGGACTATTGGATAGGCGACGACACTGTTCGACACGTTGAATCATGAGGAGAGATGACGCATTCGATAGGCAACAACGGTCAACTTGTAGCATGCGGCAAGGAGACATATTTTTTGTAGCTTTGTGTTCCTTATATGGAAAGTCTGTGTGTGTCAATTGCAATGTAGCGTCAATGCCGCATGCTACATGTTACCTCAATGTAATTCCGCCTTAAGAGCCAAGATGTGACTTATTCTTAGAAAATCTTTATTCATACACCTTATAATTCCCATCCTCACCATTATTTACCCGTTAGCGTTCCAGAATTGGCTACATTAAAACATAGCGGTATTATAATTATTTTATTTTATTTCAGGAAATGTACAACCAATTTGTCTTCCAAAACCTCCTGAAATGAGGTCTCAAGCTTTTGTCAAGTATTTCCCTTTTGTTGCTGGATGGGGCTCAACAGCTAGTGGAGGTAATATTTATTTGAATGATTAATAATAACTATATCAATCAAGTTTATCAAATTAAACAAATAAAAGACCAATAAGTAGTAAATAAGCAGACACGGAAACGAAAAATAAGATTAGCGTAACTTTTCTAAAAAAACTGGTGAGCGCAACACACAACTTTCACTTACCACTCGACTTGAATATATATTGGCATATAAGAATATTGGCAATGTTGGGCTATGAAAAAATTTTTCAAATGTATTTTTAAGCGAGCTAAAGCTTACAGTTAACAAATCATTAATACCAATAAAATAATAAAAATCCTATTTATTCTATCGACGGTTGATTATGGATTGTACCACTATTAATAATTGAACTATTCCATATTCCATTGCAATGTTACTAATATGGAATTACGATATTCTCATTGCCTGTCATAGATAGGTCAAAAGTTGTCACACCAATTGTAAGTGGATACTGTTGGAATATCACAAAGGAAAAATTCATTAAATTATTCAGTAATTTAATTTTCTAAAAGTTTACATGATTTTTCGGAATAAACGGACGATAGATACCTAATTATTTAAATATAATATCAGATTTAGAGTTATTAAACTACAATAAATGTATTTAAGATTACATGTCCATGAAATATATTCATATTTCAATTTTTCTTTCACACAAATACAATGAAATAGTATTTTAAACAATGTCATTGTCTTGATTCGGCGGATAATACTTGTTTTTGAAACTTAAAACAAGTTTAAATGTTTACATTTAGTAAGAAACTTCCATTTAATTTCCTTGGAAAAATGTGATTTACGTTAAATAATGTTAATTTTTCAGAAATTATTATTTATATTTTTTTCGTCACTCTCCGTTACCTTCTACAACTTTATTTATTAGATATAATTTTTTTTTAAATTCTCCGATTTCCAACGATATATTATACGATCACCTTCTGACTATTATTTCCGGAGATTCATTTTCGACCTGGATAAGCAATTTTCTTTTCTTTTTTTTTACCTTTATTCAATTATTAAATTTTTCCAAAAGTTATATTTAGCCATTTTTTATAGTTACTGACTTTAGACACTTTAGAGGAAGACGTTCATGGGCATTGGGTATTTAAGCCATGTAAAGTGACATCAGTGTGGATAAGAACTAGCTGATATTAAAAATGACTTAATAATACACTGATATACCGAGTTTAATCAAAGTTGAGAAAATCGCAAAAATGTGTACCATCGTTGAGTACCACTTCCGGTTTGCAGATTTTGACGAAAATGTTGCTGTAACATCTCAGGCATATAAAAACGTTTTTGAGCTAGAGTTACTACAGACATATACACACACACCCACAGACTGTGGGACTTGATCATTTAGACTCAAGGGAACTCAAAACGTACTTCCATTGAAAACTCATATTTGAAAATTTTCACGATTGCAATAGTTACTCTTACTATAAATTCCATATATAGGTAAGTGAAAGGAAAGATTACTGTCAATTTTTTGTTCGCTTTTACAAGGAATTGTTCTCTGTATAAAACAATGTTAAATACAAATGTGGTGTGTCCACTCACCCGACTTTCCTAGTTATTTTAGAAAAGTTTTTATATATTTAAATATGCCCATTAAGAAACAAAAAAAATTTAATTAGATTTATTTTTCTGAAAATTGATCAATGAAAAGATTTAATTACGATTTCTTAGATAGACTAAAGAAATGTAAACTGGCTTATGGAAAATCAACGTAAAAAATTCAATACTCTCTAATATTGTTAATCAAAAACTTTTTTACCTTAGCCCAATTTTGTCACATAATAATTTCTGTTAAAAGTCGAGAAAAAACTGGTGTGATGCGGAGAACAGATTTTCTTACTTTCACTTAATTTTCTTTTTTTCTCATTCACTGCTGCTTAGACCCGTACTCTTAAATACGAAATTGAATAGCTGTAACTTCGTTAAAAGTTGTCCGAAATGAACTATTTTCATATAGTTCTGTAGGGAATTAATAGTAATTTTCTTGGCACAGACAGACCAATGGCTGAAAATGTGTTTTTCGGACTCGAGGGGATCTGAAACTTATTGATCCGTCGAAAACTGCATGTCGGAAATTTGACCCGATCGCAATACTTTCCTAACCTAGTACAGGTAGGAAACTCAAAATAATATTGGGTGTAAAAAATGTTTTATTCAGTTTTTTTTTTTGGTATTTCTGATCACTCAATTATATTTTTTTAAATCATTATACATATAATGAAATTAAAGAATTACCTAATGAAAAATATTAAATTTATTAGGAGGTCCAGCATCTAAAAAACTGCTCCAAATCCAGGTTCCAGTAACAGACAATGAATCATGTGACAAAGTGTATACGCCAAAAGGAGCTAGGATTCTCAGTAAACAACTTTGTGCTGGTTATCCAAAAGGAGGAAAAGACGCATGCCAGGTAAATAATATTTTAAACAAGCTGTTTCGAAAATAATTTTATAAAAATTCTTAAACATTTTAAAAATTTGCCGGCGTCCCCAACGAGCGCCCTTTCAGGTCCGGCGCCCTGGGACAATTACCCAGTCGCTCCAACCAAGGAATGCCTAGCCCCCAAAGGTGGATGGGGCATGAACTCCTCCCCCTCCCTCCCTCCTTCTCCCAAAATATTTTACTGCTTTCCTTTTTTTTAATAACAGTGAAAGCAAATGTGTAATTTTAGAAATCATAGGGCATACAAATTACAGTTTCACTGGTCTATTCTATGTTTTCCTCTTGTTTCCTGGTCTGAAATTTTTGATTTCTAAAATTCATAACACACTCGAAATGCGGTCCCCTCAAACATTCTGCCATGAAATCCCCTTCTGGGTATCCCTGCATCTCCCCAAGATCGATGGCGCATCAAATCCTTCCTCCACTGACAAGAATTGTTGTTGCTCTGCTCTTCTTAAAAACAGTGCAAGCAAAAGTAAAATTAGAAAAATCGATATAAAATTTATTGAATCTATCAGAGATAGACAATATAAAATATATTCATTATTTCGAAAAGGGACAGTATAGATGTCAGTTGATAGTCCCAACCCTTCATGAGATATTATAATCTGATCTCTATATCCCAATATAATTAAATGAATATTCTCATTATTAATTAATGTTATATTTTATTATTCTGAATTAATACAAGTTATGGATGAACATTGTGGAGATTAAACGAATTCGTTCATTGACCATTGCAAAACATGAAATTAATTTATCCCATTATATAAAAATCGGCCTATGTTTTTCAAGGAACAAACACATTACAAATAATTAAAGGATTTATTAGAATATATTTATATAGAGAGCAGATTAGATTCAAGTTGATATCCTGATAGGATATGTTGACAGTCTGACGTAGAAGATAAGTCACATGAGTTCATGACTCAGGAGCACTTGGGAATGGAGTAGCTCAGTGGGTAGGGTAGTAACTTCCAAAGTTCAAAGTCTGGGGTTCGAATCAGGCTGATGACAGGTAATGATCCTTCAGCTGTGGATCGACCCAGAGGTCGGGGAGACCCTCCTGGGGTACATGCAGTCTCTATAAAGTAGACACTCTTGATTAAATAATTAATTAAGAGGAAAAACTTGGTGGTTGAGAGTGATCTCATCATATCACCTATCTGCACAACTGTTGACCGAGAAACAGTACTTCTTTACATGGTATTGAACTCTTCATTGGTTATAATCATAAGATTTTATACATTGTATATACATAGATAAGTGAACAATCTTGCATTCATTATGTATTAAGCAATATTTGGCAAACAGAAAAAGACTAATTAATGGAATATGTGTTTATTGACAGGGTGATTCTGGAGGTCCTTTGATGTTGCCTAAAGGAAGTTCCTATTACTTGATTGGCGTTGTATCTTTTGGTTACGGATGTGCTCAAGCTGGGTTTCCAGGTGTCTACACACGAGTGACTTCATATCTGGATTGGATTGTGGATAATATGAATTGATTGGAATGATCTGATTTAAGTGCATGAACACTTAATAAAACTAAACTAGTCGTGAAAAGAAATAATAAATGTATTAATATATATTGAACATTCCAAGAAAATTATTAGACCTGAAAAATTGAAATACAATAGAAAATTCACTTTTTGGCCTTATTGAAAAAATAATACTTCTTAAAAATTACTTTATTATTCTTACAATTACTTTATTATTACTCTTTAAATGTCATCACATTCATGAAATGTTATTTATTGAAAATTAATAATGTCATAATTATATTCCAAGGATCTTGTTAAATATATTTGTTTTTATTACAGTTTAATTTTTTATACTAACATGCCACAAAGAAACAGTAACGAAACCCAAAACACTTGTTTGTATATATATATATATATATATATATATATATATATATACACATACATATTATTTTTTTTATATGGGTTATTCCACGAAAAAAATCAATTTCAGTTTTTTTTTTATTCATGTAAAGTGCTAAAGAAATTATGAATAAATTCCAAAATGTTCTACATTCCATTTCTCAGCATTATTAAACACTTTCATTATAATAAAATCACAATAGATGAACTAATGACAATGATTTATATAAGGTAAAGGAAGTCGGGTAAGGATGAGACATGATACGGTATCTAATACTTATAAAACTTTTTTTTTACAATACTACAAAATGACTAAATCCATTTTCCTATCCTGAAATTCATTTACATTCCCTCTTTAAAATAAAAGTCAGAGCGAAAATTTATCATGAATAGTTTGAAAAGATTTTTTTTTTTTTATGAAATCATAAAAGTTACTATGATATTGAACAGTAATGTGCTCCTAATTACCACCAGCTGATTAAACAACAGTAGATAGCTGATTAGTTGCCAGGTAAGAACACACAGTGTTTGTACATTGAATTTTTTCGAGAAAAAAAAAGATACTATTTTAATCATAATTAGCTGTAACATATATAAAATCAAAAGTTTTTAATTTCACCTACCTATATATGAAATATATAGTAAGGGAAAGAAAGTCTTGCGATCGTGAAAATTTTCAAATCCGAGATTTCAACAGAAATACACTTTTTGGCGTCCCTTGAGTCCAAATAACAAAGTCTCACAAAATGGTCTCTGTTTGTGTATGAAAACAGTCTAGCTCAAAAACGAAAAGTCATAAAAAATGAAATTTCATATTTAAGGTTTGTATATGCTTTGGATGTTACAGCAACTTTTTTGTCCAAATAGGCAAACCGGAAGTGTTACTTAATATCAGTTTTACGATTTTCTCAAAAACGGCTCTTGTCTTCTCCTTATAATTAGGCATTCATCATCTGTTTATTCTGAAAAACAATGATGTAACTTTTTAAAAAATTGAATTAGTGCATAATTTGATGAACTTTCCCTTTGTGATATCCCAATAGTATCCACTTACAATTAGTGTGACAACTTTTGACCTATCTGTGACAGGCAATGCTAATGTCGTAATCCCATTTTAATATACTTTGCAATGGAAAATAACAATTTAATAACTAATAATGGTACAATCCATAATCAACCGTTCATATAATTAATAGGATTTCTGCTATTTTTATGGTAATAATGATTTGTTAGCTGTAAGCTTAACTTTAGCTCGGTTAAAAATGCACTTCAAAAATTTTAAAATAGAATAACATTACCAGAAAATAATTTCTATTCAAAGTAGAGCGGTAAGTGGAAGTTCTGTATCAGATTTTCATTATTAAGACTGCCTATAACAGCAAGATGTAATGAAAAAAAAAATGGTATGGAAAATATGTAATACTTTGTGATTTCATTCTTGTGTGTTTTAGAAAATAAAAATTCATACCATAAAACAACTTTATACCATCAAAATCTATAAATTAGCACTATACATAAGTATAAAAAATTGGTAATCATAGTGAAAAATCGCTTTATTTACTCAATCAAATAAACGATCCTTATGTGGGATTACCTCATAGGGAAAATAGAACAAAATATATATATATATATATATATTGAAGGAAGTTTCCACTGTTCTACATATCTTAAGTGATAAATAGTCAGGACACAGTCATTTTTACCTTAAAACCTGTTTCCTGACTATCAACTTTGATATAAATAAATATATATATAATATATTATAAATATATAACATTTTCTGTACAATAAGTATTTATTATTTAGTTATTATAATTATTTTGTATTTTTCAATACTAACAATAAACAAAAAAAAATAATTTGTAAATATATTTCCATTACTATTATTTTGTAAATATATTTGACTATTATGCAATTTATATAAGCTTGTCAACTATACCTATGTAATTTAGCATTATTTATGAACCTTACTGATATTTATAAGTGTAAAATTACCTTTACATATAATTTTTCTTTACATTGTTTAAGATAATTGACCTTAGATAGAAATTTGGTGATTGGTCAAAAAAAAAAAAAATATTGAGGTCTCATTTAAGTTGGAGTATAAAAAAAAAGTCTCAAGTCCAAATTGATTTTTTTAATAAACCTTAATCTAAGGTAGTTTTATTTTATATATTTATGATTTTAGCAACCATCATCATTCTCTCTTTAGTATTTTTTTTAATCACTGATGTTTCATGTTAGGAAACGATCCGATTAAAACAAAGCTAGAGATGGTACTCAAAAGGTGAATATAGAGATTTAACGAACTATGGGAAACAATTATCTGAATTGACTAACAGTGACATTAGCATTAAGGCAAACTTTTTTTAATTTCTCTTATTACCAACAGCAGATAGAAAACATAAAAAACAAAAATACTAGCATAGGAAAACAACCATTTAAATATTTGTTTTTCTCATAGTTTCTGATATGTCTAAACACACTTTAATTCTTACAGTGTTTTAGTCATTACTTTAATAGTTTCAAAGCCATTCATAGTATCCAATGCTCACACATTTCATTTTGAAATGATTATTGCAGATTTTTATTGTCCCCCTGGTTAAAAATTTATCCAAATATTAGACGGAGTACTACATTCATTAGGTCATAAATTGTTAAATGTTGGGGATAATTACATTTTATTTACACATTTTACTAGTCCTATTATCAAATAGTATATTAATTAATATTTAATTATGTTCCCAGTTATGATTTAAAAAAATATTTCACTTGGCCACACTTTTTCCTATTCCATTGAACACTTTTGTTCAATGTATTTATTATGTATGTATATAAACATAAATTCGTAAATACACTTTATTTATCACAAAAAGTAATGATTTTTCAAATATTTGTTTAAAATGATAATGAAACTATGTTTTTTATTAAGCACTGTATTATAGAAATTGATCCCTATTTATAAATGATCGATTAAATGTTTCCAATCCTAATATTTACGATTTTATGAAAATCATTCAAGCAATTAGCAAGCTTCTTTATTTTAGGATTGCGTAGGTATTAGGATTGCAAATGTTTAATTAATCACTTATAAGTAAATTTATATTTAGATAGATAGATAGATAGAAAAAAAAACTTTATTCTGGGACTAAGTCCCTTCAGAATAACAATAATGTACAAAATAATAGAATATTACTGGCCTGAACGTTGAAACAATAAATAAAATTGATAAAATAAAATAAAAAGTAAAGAAAACCTTAGGTGCACAAGCTATATACAATACAGATAAAACTATGTACAGAGCATTTAAAATTATGAATAAAACAATTAAAACTATGAACGAATCATTTGAACTATGAACAAAATTATATTTAAGGGTTGAACAACATAATCATACACTTTGAGAAATGAAGAACGAAAAAGAGATACAATGAGTTCATTTCATAAAAAAAAAAAAATTTACTTGAATATATATATGAAAATAAACAGTTATTTATAATTGAATAAAAAAAAAAATACAAAAAAATGTATGTATTGAAATTCCTACGTCGATAGTAGGAAATGCATGTACTATCTCTTACCAAGTGTTATGATTATATGATTGCTACACAATACATATATAATATTAATCGTTAGCTGGTATCTGACTGTTTTTGGAACAGGAATTGGAATAGGAGGTTTTTGAATGTGTACAGGGAAGGGGCATGTCGAATTTTGATCGGGAGGGAATTCCAAAAGTTGACAGAGCGGGCTATAAAGGAATTTTGGAATGAGGCAGATCTATGAGAAGGGATGTATAGGTCGGAGGGTCGGGATCTTGTAGTGAATGAATGGATTGAGGACTTAAATTGGAGAAGGTTGTAGGCATAAGAAGGACGATGATCGGTAATGATTTGATAAAGGAAAGTGCCAAGGAAATATTGTCTTCTTAAGGAGGGGAAGAGCCACCCTAACTCAGTGTAGTGGTGGGAGACACGGGAGCGTCTCGGGGTTCCGATTACAAATCTTACGAAGCAATTCATAAGTCTTTTGAGTCTATCACGCAGTTCCACCGAGAGGCCATCGTACACCACACAGCTGTAGTCAAAGTGGGAAAAGATGAGAGAGGAAACTAGGAGTCTACGGGTATTTTGGGGTAGAAGATGGCGGAAGTGATGGAATAGTTTGAGGGTAGAAATTGCATGGCGGGATATATGAGAGATATGGTGATTCCAGGAAAGGGTTTGATCTATGAGAAAGCCTAAATTTTTAACAAAGGGATAGAAGGTGATGGGGTGGTTGCTTAGATAGAGTGAGGGAAAGTTGGTGTGGGATCTAAGAAGGGGCTTGGAACCAATGAGAATGGCCTGAGTTTTGGCAGCATTTAGCCTTAATTCATTTAAGTTGGCCCAGGCATTAATTCGATCTAAATCTTCTTGAATTTTGGCAAATGCCACCAATAACTCAGCGGGAGAAAAGGATAAATAGATTTGAGAATCGTCGGCATAAAGGTGGTGGGAACAATGGATAATTGTATCATTTAGGTCATTAATATAAGAACTGAAAAGAAGAGGAGACATGCTTGAACCCTGTGCAACTCCTGAGGATAAAGGAAGGTAGGCAGATAGAGGTTGATTAGGTATGGAAACTGCTTGGGTTCGTTGTGAGAGGAAAGACTGGAACCAAGAGATGGAACTCTTGGAGAAGGATAATGATTTTAGTTTGTTGAAAAGGATGGAATGGATAATGGAATCGAAAGCTTTAGAGAAATCAAGAAGTATAAGTATGGTTAGTTTTTTGTCATCTATTGCAGTCTGGATATCACTAGTAATTTTAATCAGAGCAGATTGTGTAGAGTAGCCAGGACGGAAGCCAGATTGGAGAGGATCGAGTTGGTTGGATTGTTCAAGGAAGTTGGAAACTTGGGATTGCACTAACTTTTCTAGGGGTTTAGAA